CACACACACACACAGAATAAAAGGGTTATCGTACTCCACGAGCACATGCAGGCAGAAATGAAAAGCAATTAGGATTAACGCACCCTCCACACCGCATCACAAAGATGCCACACACACAAAGCAAAGAAACAGCCACACAAAGAGAGGTCAGCAGCAGCAGTAGGGACCCCAAGCAACAATTACGAATAGAAGGGAGAAACACATCCACCATGAAACAGCAGCGCACAGCGTGGGGCACCACACCCCGCGTCCCCAGTGGCGGGGCTCAGCACACAGCAGTCACAGCCAGCCACATCACAGATAGCAGCAGCAGCAGCGGAGGTGCATGCACCCACACAGGAACGCTGCTGCTGTCCACCGCCTTCGTGTCTTGGCCCTTGTCGGTTGACGGACTGCTGCTCGGCTGGCTGCTGCTTGTGGCTTCTGTNAGCCAGACCACCCAGCCACATCACAGATAGCAGCAGCAGCAGCGGAGGTGCATGCACCCACACAGGAACGCTGCTGCTGTCCACCGCCTTCGAGTCTTGGCCCTTGTCGGTCGACGGACTGCTGCTCAGCTTGCTGTTGCCTGTGATTTCCGTGGCACTCGTAGAAGTAGAGGCGGATGATGTCTGTGATTGCACGGCACCACTTTGTTCAACTGCAGCCTGAGCAGCACTCTCAACAGGTTCCCCCTTGGGGTGATCGTCAGCAGCGCTCTCAGCCTCAGGTGTGTTTACTGCAGGTGATGGGTAGGCAGAACCTTCGGCGTCATTCTTCGCACCTGAAGCTCTTTTCGGGCTATTCAAAGAGTTGTCGACGTCCCCCTTCTCTTCCTTCTCTGCGGTCCTGTCATGTGGACGCTGGTGCTGTCCATTATTTGGAGGTAACTCATTACTCTCCATACTTGAAGCTTTGGTAGTTGGATTGAGGACGTTGTCTTTCTTATTCGGGTCACCTTCTGGCCGTGTAGGTAATCCTCCGTCATCGGTTTTCACATTATCGGCAGGAGCTGGCGTCTTGGGCTGAGGCAGAGAAGGCCCGGGG